TTTTTTTTTTTTTTTTAGTTGAAGTAAAGAGGGTTTATTTTTTCTCTTTTACCTGACTCTGCAATATTTTATTGTTATTTATTATTTTTTTTTTTTTTTACACCCGTTTTGGCTAACTGGTGGGTGATTAATAAGGTTTACGTGTCTGTCGAGTGGTGTCCAGCTGCGCTCTTAAGTACGTTGCGTGTATAATCGCATTGCGCGTATAACAACATGTAGTGTATAATTACTCTGTAAAACCACACTTGCGCGCTCGTGTAGGTATATATATATATTTTTGCTCTCGAGTCTTTCTGCTGGAGGGAAAAAAACCGCATGTACACACACACAGGACAGCACAATTTTTTTGATCCAGGAAAAAAAAAAAAAAAAAAAAAAAAAGTATGACCTGTTCAGAAAAAAAGTAAAAATTGAACATGCACGCGAGAGTATATTATATATATATAGATATTTTTTTTTGTTATTTTTTCGAGCTGCTTTTAGGCCTATTTTACAACTCGCATTTTTTCGCATTGGAAAAATTGAGCACACTGGCGTCCATTTTTTCGTGTTTTCTCCGTCCCTTTTCACCGCCGCTTTTGCGACACAGACACCGCGGTCTACATGTAGGCTCCCTCCACTTGTGGCATGCCTGCAACTCTTTACTGGAAAATTCAACAATGCTTTCTCAGGCTTCGCCCCGCGTTAGTCCATTTTTCCCTCCTGGCTGGGGGTTAAACTGGGTGTGCGGGGGGTAGCGGCAATGCGGGAGAGGAACTGGATCGTTCGCTCCAAAGGTGCAATCACGTACGAGTGTGTAAAAGCCATGCATAAGTATGTACATGCGTGCATGCACTCAGGATCATGCGCATGAGCACTTACATTTAGCCGCACTCGGGGGTCGAGCCGGGCCGCTTCTCAATTTTGCCGCGTGTGCCCGATCGGGAAAAAAAAATGGGGACCCCCAATGAACCGTTCCATTAGGCAACAGGGCCGTTGTGCAGGCGGCCCAACTTTATTTTCACCCCCCCCCTTACACATGCGCTCTACAAAACTGCTGGCACGGTTAAAAGGTGGAATGAAATTGCTTCCCCAGTGAATGATGGTGCGCACGTGCATATTAACACGGATGTACATATATATATGTATAATATATATGGCGTTATGTAGAGCTGGCCCTCTCGCGTTGTGCTTCCCCCTGGAACATGTTTTCCCCTCTTGCTAGGAAGCATCATGTGGGATGCCCCCCCATTCCCGCGAGAGAAACAAATCCTTTAAGTGGGCAAAAGGGAAATTATCAACACAGTGCTGCTGCAAGGAGACGTCATTAAGCAAGTAATGTAACTACCTAAAATGATACAACTGAGGACTGATTCAACTTAGTTGCTCTCCATCCCTGCTGGAAAAATATGAACAAGTCAATTGGGGCACAAATCCCCCTCACTTGGAATAAGAAGGCTTGGGGAAAAGTCTGCCACAGTAGGTATGTCTCAACCAACTTTGAATACAGCCCCTCCAGCACAATCTCCCGATTTAAGGCCATCCCCATTGTCGAACGGGATTCAACAAAATGGCAGAAGAAATCATCCCTGCCTGTGCAGGCACATCAGACATTATTCCCTGATAACAACGACGCATTTTTGGAGCTAATTAAAAAAAGTTCAAAAGATAAAAAAGAAAAAAATGATCTCTCTCTTTGGCACAAGTATTGTAGAGAAGTGAAAATTAGAATCAACGAAAAGAATATTATTAGCCCCCGAATGATTACCACTTTTTTTACCTTCCTTTCACAGATGGATTATAAAAATGACCGCCTTATCAGTGAGGTGCTAAATCGGTGCATTTTGCGTCTTCACGAATTTGACCTCGTGCACATGTGTGCTCTGCTGAACGCGTTGGCGAGGATGAACTTCCGTAGCGCCTACTTTTTGGACGAGGCGAGGAAGAAGTTGATGCGTGAGGGAGACTCTTACTTTGAGCGGCACTCGCCGCACTACGTGTGTCTCTTGGTGAACAGTCTGGCCAAGCTAGGCTGCGCACCGGAAGGGAGTAACAGTGAGGGTAGCCTTGAGCGTAGCGGGGTTGAACTGTCTAACGAAGAGGGGACTAGTCATATCACCATCGCGGGCGAAGAGCATAGCGGTGATGACGGCACTCCCGATGGGCAGCTCTTGTCCCGCTTGGTCCAGCGAATCCAGCACAGGAACGCAGTGGAGTACAGCTTGCTTGGGCTGAGCCTTCTCTTGTATAACGTTTCCAAGTTTGGTCTCCACAAGTATTACCACCTGTTCGGTCAGTTTGAAAAACATATAGTGAAGGTAAAGAATGACCTTAACATGATCCAACTGGTTAATATATTAACCGCATATGAAAAGACGTCCCTGTTGAATTTGTCTTTGCTGGATGAACTTTTACAAATACCAATATTGCACGGTGTAGAAAAGGATAGGAAATTTAGTGTTCACCATATGGCGAGACTCTTAAACATTTCCCTTTCATTCGTGCTTTATACAAAGGAGAGGAATGTTTTGCCACCAGGAGGAAGCGATGCATTAGGCCGGATTGGGCAACAGGTTGTTCATATGTTTAATCAGATGTGCAGACAGGTAGATAAGTGTAGAGGGAAGGACCTACCTTTGGTATGCCTAACGTTAAGTAGAAACAAAAAACTCATCATTAGGAAGGACGGACAACAACGTGTTAATGGAAATTCCCCCTATTTGATTTTCTCCTTCCCAAAGCATATACTCAATACCCTTTTTGAACAAATAACAAGAGGGGTGAAAAAATATATTAACACGTATAACCATGTGCAGCTATCTACTATCCTTTACTGCTACGCAAGTTACGACATTCGAGACAGGAAGACCCTTTTTCATCTCATCAAGTTGAGGTCCTTAAAAATATTTTCATCCTTTGGGCAAAAATCCTTTTCCTTTCTCTTCCATGCATTTAAACGTATGAACATAGAAGATGTAATTTTTGAAAAATCCTGTCTGAACAGAATGGCGCAGTTGGGTCATTTTAGCTGCGTGCAAAGTTTTTGTTTGACCCTCTCGGCTTATGCCTCTGTGAGGAAGGACAGACAGAGGGAGGACCTTTCCCGGTTGATGTTTTCAAATTTCAGGAGAGTGCTCTTCAATGTTGCTTCCGGCCAGCATATCAGTCGGCTGGCTAGCCTCCTCACCAAGGTGCACAAAATTCCCCACGCACAAGTGTTGAATCTTCTTGCGAGTCGCTACCAAAATTATGAACACACCTTGTCCACGGCCAGCTGCACAACTCTCCTCACTTCATTATCCAATCTGTGTGCACACCTAACTGAGAACGAAGCCAAGCCATCGTGGAGGAACTATTACCATTTTGTAAATTCACTAACGACAAGGATACTTGCAGACAGCCATTTGTACAGAAGCAAAGATCTGTTAATAAATTTCCTACACGGCAGTGGCAAAACTTTCCCTGCTTTTGCCAAATGCACCAAAGTGGACGAGAACAAAATGTTTTATTTTGAAAAAATTCTCAAAATTGTCTTGCCCCATGTGTATCCTTTTGTTGACCAAATGAGTGTTGGGGAAATTGCTGTCCTGGTGGAATGCCTCAGGAAGGAGAATTACTCCAGGGAGGCGATAGCCGCCGTGGTGGACTCGGCGAGTGGCATGCAGGTAGACGAACTTGGGGGGGCGCTGCTCGGCAAGGTGAAGCGTCTGCTGCGCGGGGGGCATGCGGCAAATGAAGAGGCGGCTAATGGAGAAGCGGCAAATGAGGAAGATAACATACGCATCGCTAACGCAATCACCGTGTGGAGGGGGTTGCTGATGCTAGGACTCCACGACCAGGAGTTGTTCCAATTGATGGTCCAACGGTGCATCCTGTCCTCGCAGTGCCTATCGTCCGTCACATGTGTATCTCAAGCCATACACTACGTGTGCGTGTACATGTACATGCACAGCGCGACCAGTGAGCCCATTCCGAAGAAGCGACACGTAGACCTATTACAATTTTTACTTAACATTGTACAAAGGTTGATGGTCAACGAGGGGCTGCTTCATTTCAACTGCAGAGATGAAGACGATCAACTCCTTCCCTCTGAAGAAAACTTAAGCAGATTTACCAATGAGCCTCTTTTGGAGAAGGCCCTCACTGGGTTATGCGAAGCTGTTGTGATAATCCTACCCCACGTGTTCAACATAGAGATGGATCTACCTGCGCAATTGTCCTACCCTTCGGATAAGTACCTTTATTCCATCGCGTTTCGACCTCTGAGTAGCCCTCCTTTGTTGCATTTTTACCTGACCATTTTGAAAATAGCTGAACAAGTCAGGCAAAAAAAAAAACATGATTATCACCCGTTTCGAAGAAATGAGTTAAGTGACGTGGTGGAAGAGATACGCCAGTGCGCGTTGGGCATGCAAATGCACAGCGTGTATGTAAAGCTTCCCCTCTTCAGCGTGCTCGTGTTGGATGAGGCACCAGTTTCCTTCTTAGCGTTGCCGGAGTGCGCAAAACAAGAATAATAATAAAATAAATAAAGCCAACACCTGTTTTGTTTGCAAGCGAGGTGCACGCACACATGAATATATATCACCCATTATACATATATTTACACGTAACGATCATTTTTAAAAATGTTGTAGGCGGGAAAAAATGTCCCCACATGTAGGTGCGCCAACGGGGATTACCCTCCTCTGTGTGGTGGGTACGTGACCCAAATGGGTTTGCACCTTTTTCGGAGCCTCCAGCAAGAGCTCCCCGTTGGTGCGGTTTATACAGGGGGGGAAGTCTCGCCTTTTTGTAGAATAGAAGCCCCTTCCCGCTGGGATGTCATTATTTTTTTATGAGCAATTTTTATTTTATTTATTTATTTATTTTTTTTTTTTCATTTTATTTATTTTTATTTCGTTCCATTTTTCTTATATGTGGTGACACTTGTTTTTGGGAGGCCAGACCCCTTCGTGGAACGTCTCCCCACTCAGCTGTGTTCAGCACTTGGTTCATGAGGGGAGGGCGAACATCTGTGTGTGTGTGTGTGTGCCCCCTCCCCCCACCACCCTCCGAAGTGATAATACTAATAGCGAAGAACAGAGCAAAAACGAGTGGCACGATGAAGCGAATGAGCAGATACGGTCGAGTACGAAAGAGGAAAAAAGGGTTATTAGTAGGTTATGACAGGATGACGACCAGTAAGTATCACATTAGGAATGAGCAGCTGTTGACCAGCGTGGATAGGTGTCACTCATGGGTACAAGGAGCTCGAAGTAGGTATGCAAAGTCGATCATTTTACAAAAGGAGAGTAGTCTCCTACTGAAGGACGTGATCCATTGGGGCCACAAAAATGAACAGGTTAATAAAATTTTTCTCCGTCTGGTGAAGGACTCCCTGCACTGGAATCCTCTTAACGTTGGGAGCTTGTTCAATTTGGTGTATTTTTACTTTATGAAAATTGAGAACGGCGGGTCCACATGTGAGCAGAAACCGACGCGGAAGACGACGACAACGCAGAATGCGACGCGGGCAGAGAGGAGCTGCCTTCTATACTGCCACCTCCTCCACTCCATGTTGATGCATATATGTAGAGGTCAGTTTAGGAGAGAAAAAGCAGCCGTACTGAAGGGCAAGCCGAGGGGAAGAAACATAAGGGCAGTTTTTTTTTCCCTCTTTAAGGAAGACGTGAAGAGGGAGAATTTTCAGATCAGGCTGGTCAGGCGTATTGGGGACAAGTGGAATACCATCCCCTGCATGAGTGACCAAACGTTGTTAATAATTTTGGTAGAAAATATGCACCTGCTCTGTCTGATCAACTATAGAATGGGGTTATGGCGTGACGTTTTTTATTACGCCAATTTTCTGCTGCACCTTCTGCAGATACGCAGATTGAGTGGCCTCTTGAAGGCGAACCATTTCTCCCTTTCCGCCACCCTGTGCATGGCGAAGGCCGCTTGTTCCGTCCTGGCCTGCTCAGGCGACGAGCGGATTCACCACTCGACGCATTTACGCGCAGTTAGCGCTTTGCAGGGATTGCAGAGTGGCGATGTGCGCTTGGAGAAGGGGCAAAATGGAATGGACACGCGGGACGTTGAGCAGACGGACGACTCCCCCACCACGAGATGCTCTACAAATGCTTCATACAAAGAAGCGCTCACACTGTTGAAATGCGAAGAACGTTTTTTGTCTTTCCTGTTAAGCGAAGAGGATACAACCATGAGAGCGAAACACGTGGTCGAGCAGGACTACATGCTTGAACAGCATGTACACCACCCACTATCATCACTTATAACAAAAATAAACCTGTGCATACATCACTGTCTCAACTATAGGCAGTACCATACCCTGGCGCAATTTTTAATGTGGAGGGCCCGGCTGTATTACCATGTGGGTTTGTTTAGAAAATGCTTATCGGACACCAGCAAAGTTGCCTTGATGAACCTACACGCAAGTGCTTCATTGAGAATGGACGTAGATGAGGGGGGAGGAGGAGGGGGAGAAGAAGAAGAAGGAGGACGACGAACCGCTAACTACTCCTGCGTAGGATTGATACTCTCGTGTATGCATCGCCTGAACCTCCTGCGCGCGTCTGATTCGTATCTACTTATCCCCTTAATGAGAGGCGGCACGACGGGGAGTTACACATGGAAGGGCAAAGCGACCTGCACACCAACAGACCATACGAAGAAAAACCATATCGTTAACAAGAGAGAGCATCCGTACTCTTGGTGTCGATCCGCCGAGGATAAAACTCTCCTCCGTGTCCTCCACGGGAACAGGAAGAAAATCCCATTTACTCTTTAACCCATGGAGACCCACGCCGCCTGTTCAACGCCGCTTGCCTGAAGGGGAAAAAATGACCTCTAATATGCAGCATCCCATTTTGCTTTACAAACCTTCGAAGGTGTGGTCAAGCCATTTTGGGGGGGGTGTTTTCCTCCGAAAGTTTTATTGTACACCATGTGCCGTGTGCTATTTGTACGATTTGAATTTTTTTTTTTTTTTTTCGTCCCGTTGGTGCCTGCCTCGTGCGCGACGCCTTGTAGCAGCACTGACACCTTCCCCCCACTCGTGTGCCTGCAACTTTTTTTTTAGCTTCACGAGAGGAGGAAGAGATGACGACGGCGTTTGTAAACCGCACGTTCGTTCGATGGATCGATTGTTTTTTTTTTTTTTTTTTTTTTTTTTTTTTTTTTTGAC